CGTGGGTGAGTGAGAAAGGAGGCTCGTCCAGCAGCCGTGGGGAGCCAGGAGCAGGACGCTTCCACTGCCGGATGCCTTTAAATCATGCTGGGTGTTTTTCTTAGAAAATAAAATCAGGGTGTCCGCAGGCGATGCTGCGGGGCTGCCTCCCAGCACTGGGGCTGGCTCAGCCACCACGTCCTGCCGGACAGCCACCCGTCTTCCTCCGCTTCTCATCGGCTTTTGCTTTTTGGCCATCTTGTGCAAAAAACCCACCCCAGAGCGTGCGGTTCGGAGACACCCTGGTAATGGGAGCATGCTGGTCCCCAGCAGCAGCACAGCACTGTAATCCTGCAGCGATAACACCACTGATGCAGCTGGTGGCTGGAATGAACACGAAAACCAGAGGCCAAGCCAGAAAAAAGGGGTCAGGGTCTCGGAAGCATGCCACAGCATAGCAGTGTGCGACAGGCAGGGAAGGATCTGAACCCCATCCCATATGGGAAGCGCTCCCCAGCACCAGCACGGCAGCTGCTTTGCTTCCCCAGCAGGCGGTGGAACCCACTCCCCCACCGCAAGAGAAACAGCCTTAAAAAGTAGAGGCTGGAGAGGGGCTCGTGAGCCAAAGAAACCCACAAGTTTGGGGCCCGGCTGAAGGAAAGGCCAAGGGGAGTGCTGGCAGCAGCTGGGCTGCAGGACAGGGTGTCCTTGGGAGGGGGTTCTCCTTTCCAACAACCCTACGTGCCATTTCGGGTAACGAAGCCACCATCTTCTGTGGAAAACACGATGGTTTTGTCTCTGCTGTGCGCCAAGAGGCTCTGGTTACAAACCAGGGCAAGATGTTTTGGGAAAAAAACAACGTTGGCATTCTCCTGCCTGCGGGTTTGCCAGTACGGTGTGTCACCAGGGTTCGCCCGCTGGCCCGTCCCCGGTGCAACGCCGAGGGACCACAGGCCCCCCGCAGCCGGAGCATCGCCCCTGGGCTGCCCCGCCGCGCCGGGGAACACACGGGTGGGCAGAACCCACCGTCCGCGCCTGGAGCGGGGGGCCACGGACGAGG